AGGGAGCCAATGTAGAGAAGCTAGAACAGGAGAGATGTGATCTCTTTTCCTAGTTCCTGTCAGTACTCGTGCTGCAGCGTTTTGAATTAATTGGAATTCATTATTATAATAATTAATTATATATAATCAGTGTCTGTAATAAAGATTAATAAAACATCTTTAATGTACCTGATACATCAGCAGTAACATTTATAGACTATAATACAGTTTTATTGTCACATATTGATCCGGATTATGAACTGAACAGGAAATCAGATTTTGTATCAGATTTACCAAAATAAAGTGTTTTAGATTAAAGACTGAATCCTAATTTAATAAATCAATTAAAGGTGTTTAACGTTCGGACACGTTGTTAAAACATTATTAATATAATGACTATATTTACAGTATTATACTGGCTGTTGGAGCGAACACTCACCAGTACTGGAACCGGAGCACGGGCCCGCTGTACACGGAGGGTTTGGCGGGTTTCCCGGGCTCTGTGTCCGGCGGAGTGTCCAGGGAAAGGCCGAGGCTGTCGGCCTGCTGCTGTCCGCGCTGCGGGCTCGATCTCCCGACATAAACGTCCCGGACCGTGAGGGCCGTGAACAGGAGCACAGCAGCCAGGAGGCCGGCCGGGCTGTACTCCGCCATTACTGCTGGGACACCGATCTACTGCACTTCCGGTACACTTCACAATAAAAGAGTATAACAGTATAAGTATAATATTTAAATTATATAATGTACATTTTATTGCACCTTCTGTCTGCTGCTGCAGTTATTCTTCTGATATTGAACATTAAACAGATGATGAGTTTATAAATATGAGATGCATTTTAATCGATTAAACAAGTATTTTAAATTAGCTCCATTTACAAGATTAAAAGTCTTCTGACACATTTATTCATCAGTAATAAAGTAACCAAGGTAAACTTACCTCTCTGTTGTCTGTTCGCTGCTCTCATTTATTATTTCTTTGTTTGTTTGCTTTTAATTCATTTATATTGTTTTTATTTACACACAGTTTTATTTTCTTAACGGCGGAATGACGTCACATTTATCGGACGCGCGGCGGTAAAGAGTGTGACGTCACATGTGTGGGACGCCGTGCTGCCGCTGGATGGAGGGATGCAGGTTATTGATTAGCAGTTATTGATTAGCAGTTATTGGCGGAGGGTTGGTGTCACCATGTTGAGTGTTGGGGGGTCGCTGAGGTCCGGAGTCCTGCAGGTTCCGGTTCGGGGACTCTGTTCTGCTGTCAACAGGAAGTCACCTCCACCTGGTCCCGTCTGCTCCGGACCGCCGACTGCTGGACTGCTTGCAGTCTGGACCCGGTCAGGTTCCAGCACTTTGTCAGGTCTGTGGACTTCCACAGGGGTCAGGAGGTTCTCAGGCGGAGGCGGTCCAGGAGCTCCGGGCTGGTACAGCAGACTCTCTGACTCGGCTCCGGTCCACCTGTGTGAGGACTTCCTGGTCGGGGTGCAGCAGGTGAGCGGGTTGCCATGGTGGCTCAGCATCGCCATGGCAACGCTGTCAGTGAGGAGCGCGGTCACGTTGCCGCTCGCCGCCTACCAGCTGATCATCCTCGCCAAGGTCAGTTCACCACAGACCACATCAGACCCAGACCGGGTCTCTGATCTGATCCACAATCTGTGACAGACGGTGTTTGTTAAGACAACATAGAATTCTGTATGAGAAACAACAATAATACAGTAACAACAACATCAATAACGATAATCAATAATAATAATAATCAATAATAATGATACTGTTACAATGTGTGTAATGACCTTCGTTCTCCTGCAGGTGGCGACAAAATAACCTTTTATTATTATAGTAGAGGAAATTCTACATCAGCTCCTCCTTCTCTCCTCTTCTTCTCTCCTCTCCTCTCATCCTCCTCCTCTCCTCCTTCTCCCTTCCTCTCCTCTCTTCCTCCTCCTCTCTCCTCCTCCTTTTCCTCCTCTGCTCCTTCTCTCTTCCTGTCCTCCTCCTCCTCTCCTCCTCCTCCTCCTCTCCTCCTCCCTCCCTGTATGAAGCAGCAGTTGACAGTAACCATGGTAACCTCCAGGTGTTGTGCAGGTGGAGGTGCTGCAGGAGGAGATCTCGGAGCTGGCGAAGAGGCTTCGATATGAAGTTTCACTGAGAGCGAGAGAGAGAGGCTGGACAGAGAAACAGAGTCGGTAAGAACAACAAACAGAGTTAGTCCTGGTCTGTGTGTCCCCTATGAAACCTGGTCTGTGTGTCCCCTATGAAACCTGGTCTG